GGTCCGCGCGAGGCGCGGAGCGAGAGCACGTTGGCGCGGGCCGCGCGAGGCGCGGAGCAAGAGCTCGTAGGCGCGGGCCGCGCGGGCGCGGGACGAGAGCACGTGGACGCGGGCCGCGCAAGGCGCGGAGCAAGAGCCCTGTGGCGCAGAGGCGCGAGACGATAAGCGTCAGCCTTGTCACCCCAGCAGCCACACCGAAACACGTGTCACCTTTCTGTATGTTCCACGGCAGTGTCTTAATGGGCAGTCGTTTCACCACGTGGCATCCGCGCCGAGACTCGCGCGATTCCGTTGCCCTCTCAGCTCAGTCCCGTAAATCCGGCTCGAAGGACCAAATTTATGTTTCACCCTTGCGGATCAGGCCCGATCAGGCAGCGGGGTCCACAAAGAGAAAGACCGGTCGCTAATAGGAGCGGGAGAGCCGGAGGGCGCCGGGCGGAAGGAACTCGCGGGAGCCACACATAAGAGCGACAAGCACAGTTTAAAGGATCACTCCGATGGTCTATTGCACTGTTCTTTATTGCACGTTTACAGGTGCAATCGGCTATCCGAGTCGGATACGCGCGACTGCGAGTTCGAACACTCGTGCGCGGGAACGCGAGACTTTCGAGAAAAAACGGACGAGAGTTCCGAAAGCAGCGATAAGCAAACCTATTTTCGTCGTTCCGCGTAGACTGCGAGGACTTCGCCGAATCATGCTGCCGCCCGACCTCGTCGCACCCCCGTCCCCCACGCCCCCGGCCACTAGGCTACTCGGTCCACCCGGGCACGGGGGATGGGGCGGGAAGAACGCGAGCCGGGCGGCATCATGCTCACAATATTTACGGGCAAGTATGATAACCGGGAAGGCGATAGAAAGCGCCGAGAACGATCCACCGAGCGATCGGCAGAAAGCGCCGAGAACGTTCCACCGAGGTCGGAACACCTTGTGTTTTCGACATTACCGACGATATCTCCGTTAAAAATCATCGTAGCAAGATCGTTTTTTTAAATCAAAGCTTGCACTTTCAGCTTCAAAAACTAATCACCAGATTTTTCCTCGAATGCATCTGCGCTGCTGTAGCTTTTAAAATGTAACGACATGTTTTTACCTAAAAAATAACCAACTTTGGCCAGGTGCCCGGGCGTAGGAAATTTTTCCTCGCTAATTCTGCTCGAAGTATCAAAAAGTGTGTACTTTTCCCTTCAATTTAAAAAAAAGAAGTTACTGCGATTTTTTTCGCCAAGTTACAGCTTTTTGAAGTAACCCTTGTATTTTCGTTCATTACCGTCGACATCAGCGTAACCCAATGTGCACGAGGAGGTTGCCGTTCGGATTTTGCACATCGCGGTAAATTGCAGGCGCGGTAAATTAATATGCACATGTTACTTCACATTGAAATTACTGTAAGTCACAAGAGCGTCTATTCGTGTAAAAGGCTTGTAGAGGACTGATTAATTTACCGCGCCTCTTTCTTTATAAAGCGTACACTCAATTTCAATTGAAGTAACACGTGCATATTAATTTACTGCGCCTCTCTCTTTATAAAGCGTACACTCAATATGTCACCCATTTCTTGCTGCCACATTTAATGGGCTATTACTTGAAAAGGACTAGTATTACTAGTCGAAACGTAGTATTTTAAATAAATATATGGGCCAGTTATCGTCGACACCACCATCTTTTGTTATTTTTCTTCACCCACTGGCGATCCACCTTCTCCAAGGTTGTAAAGTACGAAGTAGCGTGGCAGTTATTGAAACAACGATACGACAACAAGCGAGTCATCGTTCAAACCCACGTTAAGGCAATTATAGAACTTCCTTCTCTTACGAAGGAAAACGCAAGCGAGCTACGCGCAATATCGGATGGCGCGACTAAACATATTCACGCCCTTCAGGCGTTGAAACGTCCCACTGATAAGTGGGACGACGTATTAACTTGCTTGTTGAGTGCGAAACTGGACGCGGCCACGTCTCGTGAGTGGCAAACGTCTTTAACGGGCACTGAACCCTCCACCTTAAAACAGCTACTCGATTTCATTGCGCATAAAAGTCAAGTATCATAGTGAATTCGGCCGATTTGCACTGACACTGAACTCGTTTTGCACTGAACTGTACAAGCGCAGCACTAGGTCCGATCGGTATTAACCTTTCTCAGTGCAACACCAACTCGATGCAATTACACACTGAACTCACTTTGCACTAAACTTGCGAGTGCAACACTAGGTCCGATCGATGCTAACCTAAAATTTCATTAATAGCGAATTCGGTTGCTTGCACTAGTGCGTACCGAGTGCACACCAAGGCCAGTTTACAGTCAATTTTTATACTTAACTTTGTCTTAAATGCACGTTCAAAGCGATTTAGCCAGAAAACAATCCGTATGGATGCTATACAGATCGTTTTACTGGCTACGAAATATTTCAGGAATATTTAAGACGCTTCGGAAATATAAGAATTGACTGTAAACAAGCCTTAGTGCGCACTCAGTGCGCACCAGTGCAAGCAACCGAATTCGCTATAAGAAATAAAAGTCTGCGGTTAGGATCCATAATTTTACCGCGCTAATAGTAACTGCACTGCAAAAATTGACAGTGTAATAAACTTTGCACTCCTTCAGTTTATTTTGCGTATCCGAATACAAAGTCAGTGCTACACTAGGTTAGTGTAACACTCATCGAACATGATATAAGGTTTGTACTGTAATAGTGCAATATAACCGAATACGACGAGTGCAATGCACTGAAACAGAAGGCATCGATCGAATACGTTGCACTGGGAAAGTTTGCACTCAGTGTACACTAGTGTACATTAGTGCAAGCGACCGAATTCGCTAGAAACCACGAGTAAATCATCGAAAGTGACAGGCAATTCCCCAATCACGACCCGTTCCAAGTCTAATCCCAAACACCGAGCTTCTTGTCACGCTGCAGTCAAGTACAAATGTAGCTTTTGCAGTGGTGAACATTCCATTTATCGTTGCAGGGAATTTTTGGCACTTCCAGTTCCGCGTAGGATCACTGAAGTGCGTAAGCGAAAACTTTGCGGCAATTGCCTAAGATGCAGTACCCACGCGGCCAATCAATGCACATCGGGGACTTGCAAAACGTGTGCTGCCAAGCATAATTCTCTCTTTCACGTGGCAAATGGCTCGGAGCCTGACGATTCCAATGCAAGTAAGGAAGTTACTGAAGCCAAGGCTTCTTCCGCGATAGTCACACACACGTTGAATCATTCGAGAGATAATCACATTATGTTATCAACCACGGTCGTAAACGTTAATGACAATCAGGGCACGCCGGTCAGGTGTCGTGTTTTATTAGACTGCGGTTCCCAAGCCAACTTTATATCTAAAGGATTATTAAACGTTCTTGGTTTAAGGTCTCAGAATCAAAGCGTAGCTATTTCCAGGGTCAACGGATCCTGCACTAGCTCATCTCAAGTGGTCGATTTGAGGATACATTCCGTGATTAATTCGTACTTCGCTGACATTACTTGCATTGTAACCGATCAAGTCACAAATAAATTACCCGCGTTCAACTTGAAACGTGATAGATTCGATATTCCTCGAAATATCACTCTAGCCGATCCCAATTTCCACAAGCCCGCGGACATAGACATCCTGCTCGGTGCCGCGTTGTTTTGGGAGTTGTTATGCGTCGATCAAATTCAAGCTTCCCACAAACATCCTACGTTACAGAAAACTCGCTTGGGATGGATATTAGCGGGTCGCTTAAACAATTCCTCAACGTCAGCTAAACGCGTCCATGCATTGCACGCGCGCATATCTAACGCGCAGTTGCACGAGCAATTAGGCCACTTTTGGCAGCAAGAAGAAGCCGCGAGCGAGACAACTCCTTTTACTGCCGAGGAATCTTACTGCGAAAAACAATTTTTGGAGACTGTATCTCGGACACCACAGGGCCGATTTATAGTGCAGCTTCCGCTCAAGGAAAATCTCGCTAACGGTTTAGGAGAATCGAAAGAAATCGCTCTAAGGCGACTATTGAATCTCGAGAAACGTTTCAACCGCGATTCACTTTTGAAGGGGCGATACGAAGAATTCTTGCGCGAATACGAGTCCCTGAATCACATGAGAAAATTAGACGTCTCACCAAGCGAGGGTTCAACGCTGTTCTACTTACCCCACCATGGCGTATATAAAAATTCCGACAAATCAGACAAGCTCCGGGTCGTCTTTGATGCATCCTGTAAGACCCGCTCGGGTTTGTCACTCAACGACATCTTGATGGTGGGACCTGTCGTTCAACAAGACTTGGCCTCAATCCTGATGCGCTTCCGAACGTTTGCCTACGTTTTTACTGCCGACATAGTAAATGTACAGGCAAAATTGGTAACCCCATCACAGACGCATCTACAAAGAATTTTATGGAGAGACAACACCAACTCGGACGTAAATACATACGAGTTACTAACCGTCACTTACGGCACATCCTCTGCTTCCTTTTTAGCAACCAGATGTCTAAAGCACTTGGCTGAATTGTACAGAACGGAATTCCCGGTGGGATCTAGGCACGTCGAACGCGACTTTTACGTGGACGATCTCCTCACCGGGGCGGATACATCGAAGAGGCTAAACGAATACGGGACGAAATAGTAAAACTCCTACGCTTAGGAGCCTTCCAGCTCGGCAAATGGGCTTCAAACCTTCCATCATTAGTGAAAGATATGGACAATCCACCTTTCAACACGGTCGTTATAACGGAAAACTCCGAGTCGCAAATCTTGGGAATCCGATGGGACCAAACACGAGATATTCTACAATTTTCATACAAGACTCAAGGCCATTCAAACGTCGTAAACAAGCGCAGCATACTGTCCGAAGTAGCCAAGCTGTTCGACCCACTTGGCCTTCTCGGCCCGATAATTACCAACGCCAAACTAATTCTTCAGGAGCTTTGGCAGTCAGGTGTGGAGTGGGACGAGTCAGTGCCGCAACATATTCATTCTCGCTGGATGACCTTCAAGCAAGGTCTATCCGAATTAAATCAAATACAAGTTCCGAGACGCGTCAAATTCGCAAGCGAACCCCAGTCAATTCAACTACACGGATTCTGTGACGCAAGTCAGCGGGCTTACGGTGCCTGCTTTTATATTCGCACCTGCGAAGCCGCCGGGGATTGGATTTCGCACCGAGCTATTGTGCTCCAAGTCTCGAGTAGCTCCTTTAAAGGCGATCACACTGCCCAGGTTGGAATTGTGCGCAGCAGTACTCCTAGCACGACTCTTAAAAAAGATCACGGAATCCTTCGACTTGCCAAACAGCCGGGTATTCTTATGGTCCGACTCTACAATCGCCCTAAACTGGATAGCGTCACCCTCACGCCGGTGGTCTGTCTTCGTTTCAAACAGGGTTGGCGAGGTGCAACGTCTAACGAGTCCCGAAAGTTGGCGACACGTTCCTTCTCCCGACAATCCTGCCGACATTCTATCACGCGGGATCGACCCAGGAATGTTGCCAAGAGCAACCTTGTGGTGGCAGGGACCTGAGTTCCTGCAACGCAGCGAGAGCCACTGGCCAACTGGCGAGCTTCCTCGCTTAGAAGACGAGCTTCCAGAAAGGCGAGCAATACCAGCAACCACAGCCATTCTACAACCCTCAATAGTCGACGACTTAATGTCCAAATATTCCAGTTTGGATAAAGTATGTCGTATATTAGCCTTTTGTTTCAGAATTTGTAAAAAATCACGTTTAACTGGTTCTGATATCCCATCTACCTTCATTTCTCCTAACGAGATGTCGCACGCTTTAAGGATAGCTTGCAAAACGATCCAAAAACACGCTTTCGTCGAAGAATATCGAAGTCTGAGCAAAGGCGCCCCGATCAGCACATCAAGCAAAATCCTTACCATGTCCCCCTTTCTAGACGAAGACGGACTGATACGGGTAGGCGGAAGACTAAAAAATTCGGAGCAAAACGCCGAGGCGTGCCATCCCATCCTCCTCTCAGCCAAGCACGAGCTAACAAAACGCATAATTCAACGCGAATATATACGTAACAAACATGCAGGAACTCAAGCCACTATGGCCTTCGTGAGGCAGCAATTTTGGCCTCTATCCTTACGCTCCACTACGCGGAAAGTTACGAGAAATTGCGTAACGTGTTTCAAATCCAAACCAGTACATTCGGAAGCAATTATGGGATCATTACCCAGCGGTCGCGTTACAGCCTCCAAACCGTTTTCGCATTGCGGCGTCGATTACGCCGGTCCGGTGAGCTTGAAGGAAGGCAAGCGCCGTAATGCCCGTATTCATAAAGCCTATATCTCAATATTCGTCTGCTTCGCCACGAAAGCAGTCCACATAGAATTAGTAAGCGACCTTACGTCGGAGGCCTTTTTAGCCACGCTACGAAGATTCATAGCGCGAAGAGGGAAGCCGGTGTGTATGTACTCCGATAACGGAACAAATTTTGTCGGTGCAAATAAGCAAATAAAGGAACTCTATGATCTTGTCGCCAGAGAACAAACTCAGGAAAGCGTCAAAAATTTCCTTCGCGGTCAAGAAACGTCATGGTCCTTTATACCACCTAACGCGCCCCATTTCGGGGGATTGTGGGAGGCGGCCGTAAAATCCGCTAAGTATCACTTGTCGCGTATCGTTGGCCAAGCTCATTTAACATTTGAGGAAATGTTAGGCAAGCAACAGTGCTTTGCGAGATAGAAGCTACTTTGAACTCTCGACCTCTCACTCAATTAAGTAATGACCCCAATGATCTAACTCCACTCACGCCGGGTCACTTTCTAGTCGGTGCACCGCTCAACAGTATCCCTTCTCCTGACCTAATAGATGTAAGCGAGAATAGATTAATGCGCTAGCAATTAGTCCAACAGCTCAAGCAGCACTTCTGGAAAAGATGGAGCATTGAGTACTTGAACTCCCTCCAGGAGCGCACCAAATGGAAGAAGAATCTAGGAGCAGCACTGGAGCCAGGACAACTCGTAATAATTAAACAACAGGGCTTGGCGCCCTTACAATGGTTAGTGGGTCGAATTCAGGAAGTTCATCCCGATTCCGACGGTATTTCTCGTTCTGCTGTTATAAAAACTACCAAGGGAAATCTTATACGGCCAATAACCAAATTGGCTATATTACCAATTCACCAGTGATGTATGATTACATATTATATAAGTTCTTTCTTGTTACTCGCGTTTCTTTTTGTCATTTAGGTTAAGCACTTAGATTAAACTTGTATTCAGTAGCACAGCTGTTTCGTGCAATGTTAAGCTTAAGATAACTTGTCATTAGTCTCTAAGTCAGTCTTACTTTATCTTGTCTTCGCTCTCGATTGTTTCCTTTTTTTTATTTCAGTCACTCATTTTATTTTGTTAATTGCGTTGCGATGATAGTCCCCATTTTGTGCATTGCTCGAGGGACTTCACCTCTAATGTTGAAAGCTGATTTTTTCAAGGCGGGCGGCGTATGTTACGTATTTATTGGAATTTTAAGTCTCCCGCGGCACTTTCCCCTAGACTCAACATCGGAAGTTCAGCGCCACGCGAGGCGCACTCATCGCGAGGACTAGGGCCCTTCGTGTCCTTTCGGTTTAGTTCGGCTAGTAGTACTTGCAAGGCGGGCTCGTAGACCAGATCGCTCTTGTAGGCTCAGTAAGCAAGCAGGCGTGTGCAATAAGTCCGATATCTCTGGCGATACACAAAATTGCGGTGTGCATCGAGGCAATCAAGTGTGTAATCTCCGAAATATACATATACAAACTAAGAGAAGCATTGTTCCTTCTCAACCCCGCCGACCACGAGACTTCCATTAGCAACCTGGAAACGCGGGGAAGCACGTCCTCAAGTCACGTGCTCAAAATACAGAACACTACAAAAGGTGTGATATCACATAAAAAACTTACCTTCTTTAAAAAAAGGTAAAAAAAGCACCAAGTCTAATAAGCTCCAATTCAACCGAATATATTTTGTTACTCTATCTTTTTTGCAAAAGTATAATCTCTACAAAAATATCTTTACTGCAAAAGTATCTTCTTTACGAAAATAGTGTCTCCACAAAAATCTTCTGTACAAAAATATCGTCTCTACAAAAATATCTTCTCTACAAAACTATCTTCTCTACAAAAATAAAGATATCAACAAATTGCGCCAAATAAAACAACGGATATTTATACAAACTAGTTGCTTTAGCAATAGTTTTTTATTAAAAAACGTTATATTTCTTAAAAAATCAAACTAAAGATTTTATTGGAAAAAAATAATGGAGTTAATAATAAAACACCGATGAAAAGAATAGCAACTGTTTAGAAATTTAGAAACTCTGTATCTGTTCAGGCGAATTAAGGCCTGTGTCTATGACGCTAGTACTTGGTCCAAGTTCTAGTTTTGAGGAATGCGTAGCCAATCAACTTGCAGCTTTTGCGGAACAGCTACATTGATTGGCTACATATTTCGCGGAATTAGAACTTGGACCAAGCACTAGCGTCATAGACACAGGCCTTAATTCGCCTGAACAGATAGAGTTTCTAAATTTCTAAACAGTTGCTATTCTTTTCATCGGTGTTTTATTATTAACTCGATTATTTTTTCCAATAAAATCTTTAGTTTGATTTTTTAAGAAATATAACATTTTTTAATCAAAAACTAATGCTAAAGCAACTAGTTTGTATAAACATCCGTTGTTTTATTTGGCGCAATTTGTTGATATCATTACTTTTATAGAGAAGATAGTTTTGTAGAGAAGATATTTTTGTAGAGACGATATTTTTGTACAGAAGATTTTTGTGGAGACACTATTTTTGTAAAGAAGATACTTTTGCAGTAAAGATATTTTTGTAGAGATTATACTTTTGCAAAAAAGAGAGAGTAACAAAATATATTCGGTTGAATTGGAGCTTAGACTTGGTGCTTTTTTTTACCTTTTTTTTAAAAAGGTATTTTAAAAGCTACAGCAGCGTAGATGCATTCGAGGAAAAATCTGGTGATTAGTTTTTGAAGCTGAAAGTGCAAGCTTTGATTTAAAAAAAAACGATCTTGCTACGATGATTTTTAACGGAGATATCGTCGGTAATGTCGAAAACACAAGGGTTATTT